TATGATCTTCAATGAAACTGTTTTGTATTTATTTATTACTCCTTTGTCTCACACCTCTGCTCACTGTTTCTATTATGCTTTTCTTGTACTTTCTTCTCTTGCTTCGCGTGCTACACGGAATGTGGCGACTTGAACTTCCGCACATTTGTGCAAAGTTCTATGTCGAAAACAGACAGACAGTCCTGTATCATCATCTTGCATTTGGCGGGAGCGAATCGCATGCCGAACATTCGTAGATTGCGGCTCAAGGTGTTTAGAAGACTCTGCATTTCGTCAGCGTCTTCGCCTAGAAGGACCATATCGTCTGCATATTCCAAGTCAACGAGATTATTCCCTCCCTGGTAGCAAATCAATCCCTGAGTCGCTGAAGTCACCTAGGGTTAAATCCATTAGTACATCTATGATGAAGTTGAATAGAAATGGAGATAATGGGCATCCTTGACGGACACCACTGGTCGTCATCAGTTCAGATGACAGCTCGCCGTAAGCCCTCACCTGGCTTTATGAGTACGAGTACAGTGCCTTAATCAGTGCAATATATTTTCTCGGAATTCCCTTTACAGCCAAGCATCTCCAGAGAACTTCTCGGTCGACAGAGTCGAATGCTGCCTTTAGGTCAAGAAATATAATGACTGTTGGACGCCGGTAGGAATGCCTATGTTCTAGAATCTGTCGGAGGGTGAAGATATGATCAATACACCCTCTTCCTGGTCTAAAGCCTGCCTGGCTCTCTCGTGTTTGTGCCTCCCGAGCACCACTCAGTCTACGCATGATTATTGAGCCTAAGACTTTAGATACTATATTAGTCAAGCTAATCCCTCTGTGATTATCACAGGAAGACTTGTCTCCCTTCTTGTATATGGGGATAATCAGTGACTTACACCAACCCGATGGGACTTCTTCTGATTCCCAGACGCTGCCTAGTACCTCAGTTAATGCAGACAGAAAGCTGTCTCCACCGTACTTGAATACCTCTGGAGTCATTCCATCAGGTCCCGCTGTGTTGGAGGCAAGCAGTCTATCTCTGTGCTACCGATGCAAACGCGTTAGTCCCTAAATATGCGTGTAGGTTGGCTTAAGGATGAATGGGTGGATGGACAGAAAAAAGAAAAAGAACTAAAAGCCATTGAAACTTTAAGAGATAATTCACATCGATTTTACTTTTATTATATTCATTTTTTTTAATCGCCTAAAGATGTATCCAAAAAGTAGGCAAGTAATCGTTGTTGCTATTGTCGTTATGGAGATTGCTAATCCGCTTACTTGCGTCCATTTTATTACAGAGAGAGAGAGAGAGAGAATAACCGTTACCGTTAATGTCTCCCTCATCTCTGTTAGTATCACTTAGCCTGTTTACTTACTTCAACCCAGAATTGTCTGCGTCTATCTTATATATAAAATGTCTAGTGACACATTCAAACCTGTATTCCAATGGTCTAAAGTAAGGTGAAGTATTTATCTTCTGGGCATTCTTACCTACCTAACCACCTCCCTCAATCTTAGTATGGGTTTATTTTTTGACGCCAACCGAATTTGTCGAATCACTGACAGAATGGTGTAAATATGTATACATGAAGAAGGGGAACAGAAATGTGCAACTTGACTACCACGGACATGCCTACACTACTAAGCGTAAGTCACCCTTCTTGGTATCCTGACAAGGTAGTCAGCCTTTCTTCCAATTGATAGGCACCTTTCCCTCCTTTCAAACTTGAGTTCTATTCTTATATCAACTATTAATAACTTATTATACGTCAGTGGGACAGTGACAGAATATTTTCCATGGTCAATGTGGTTCGATTCCCGCAGTAGACACACATTCATCTAAATCCCCGCGCCGAGAATTCACTCGTCAACAGGAATCCCGGTAAAGAAAACAGTTTGAGTGTGCTAGGCTACGAACCTAACCCCCTCAAAAATAGGACACGCCAACTACTCAAACTTCGAAACTCAAGATCAATCTCGAAATCCTAAGTTCCATTCTGAACGCAAAGGAATGAAATAAAAGAATGTGACGTCTGCATATCTCCACCATAACCTACATTTCGAAACAGTAATTAATAAACCAACAAATATACCTAGTGTGTGTGTGTGTGTGTGTGTGTGTGTGTGTGTGTGTGTGGAAGACAGAGAGAGTACAACAACTACGAGGTTGACAAATTTTAATAGATGCAGAGGGGGTTCAAACGCGTAACCCAGAGATTGGTAGATAAGTGTCTACACCAATGAGCCATAGCATTAAGCACAAACTCGTCCATAAGTATCCGATATGATTATTTTTTTCTCATTTTTTGCGTTCCCAGCGGAACATACAGAATAGAGATGGCAGCATCACCATACTATCAACCTCCTCCTCTTCCTGTTTCGCAGACTTACTATCTACTGGCTAGTAAACAAGACGAAGTTCAAGGAGTGAGTCCGCTGGGAATCGAACTCGAACTGATTTGTATAGTTGGTGAATACTCTACTATTGAACTAAAGATAATTTAGAAACGAATGGTCGTCATCTTACCATCCATATCAAGACATACCAGTATTCAGGAAAAATTCCCATCCATATATTCAAAACACGCAGTTCACCGAAGTCTTTTCTCGCCGACAGATTCTAGAACATAGGCATTCCTACCGGCATCCAACAGTCATTATATTTCTTGACCTAAAGGCAGCATTCGACTCTGTCGACCGAGAAGTTCTCTGGAGATGCTTGGCTGTAAAGGGAATTCCGAGAAAATATATTGCACTGATTAAGGCACTCACTCTACACGAACTCATGCAGCCAGGTGAGCGCTTACGGCGAGTTGTCATCTCAAGTGGTGACGACTAGTGGTGTCCGTCAAGGATGCCCATTATCCCCATTTCTATTCAACTTCATCATAGATGTACTAATGGATTTAACCCTAGGTGACTTCAGCGACTCAGGGATTGATTTGCTACCAGGGAGGGAATAATCTCGTTGACTTGGAATATGCAGACGATATGGTCCTTCTAGGCGAAGACGCTGACGAAATGCAGAGTCTTCTGAACACCTTGAGCTGGAATCTACGAATGTTTGGCATGTGATTCGCTCCCTTTGTCAAATGTAAGATGATGCTACAGGACTGGACTGGACTACACTGACTGACTCCTAGTTTAGAAATAGGGAGTGAAGTGGTTAGAGGAGCACTTTGACCGCTTCACTTATTTGGGAAGTACCATCAGCCAGCCCCAACGGGCTGATCGCTGACGAAATCTCAGAACGGATACAGAGAGCTAGTTTCGGATATGCCATTTTACACCGTCTCTGGCGTGGACGTGATATCCGGGGTGGCTGTCGACCAAAGGGTGGGTGTACTGCTCAGCAGTCCGCTCCGTCCTCCTTTATGGTTAGCTGTGAGACTTGGCCATTGAGCGTCGAAGACATCAAAAGATTAGCTGTCTTTGATGACAGGTGCCTGAGCTCTATCTCCCGTGTGAAGTGGTATAATAAGGTGAGCAATATTGAGGTTAGGCATCAGTCGAGTGCGCCATTCATAGAGAACGATTTTGAACCATATCATTGGTTCTTACCATCCTGAGGACCCCAACCAAGTAGACAGGCGGTCTACACCTCACGACATGGCTGGCTGGCTGACTGGTTGGCTAACTGGCTTAAGCTATCTGTTATGGATTTCATTGACACCGATAAAGCTATGTCATTTGACGACTAGTAGCTCTTTTCCAAATTGATCCATCCTATGTCAGCCAACATCGCCCATTGTCGAGGAAGGCGATGGATGGCTAGGCACGCGCACACATAACACATGTCCTAAAACCATTTCATTCAATCAGTGTGTAACTTCACAACCTCCTTACATAACTCTAAAAACAACTGTGGTGAGACCTGGCTGTTAGCCAAAATTGGTAGACAGTAATTTGCGTTAATGTTTATGTCCCAAATATTCGTCGTGAGAAAAATGAGAACACAAAGGCTTTGCGTAGGCGGATACACTTAACATATATAGATGATCTGACATTCAAGAAACAGCAGCCACAAAGGGGTGCAAGGTTTAATTTCTGTGAGAAACAACCAATCAGAAGACTTCGGTGTTTTTCTGCTAACAACAATCTATAATAATGTACATGAAAATCTATAAATATGTGTTGATTTCCTTAATGAACGATCTTTTGCCTGGCCCTTGTCTTCTGTCGTTACATTTGGTGTCGCTGCCTACCGATAAATGGAAAGCCTATGCCCTGCAGTTTTTGATAGAGACATATGGATCTTAGGGTAGGACTTCGAGGCTTCTGTGCAGTTGAGAGGCGTTCAAGATCTGTCAGCGATAAGGCTGCAACTTGGTACGATGCTGGGAGGTCGGGAGAAAGTAATATATGAAATTGTGAGGCAAAATACCGACGAGTGTGCGACAGGGTCAGGCAAACAGTTTCCGAAGTGGGAAGGACCACACATATGGCCACGTTGAGGTGGGGTTACGCAGACATAATCGCAATGGTAAACAAAGAGAAACAGGTGAATATCAGCGAGTGCCGAGATTCAAGACAGCAACACAAACGAGTAAAGCCCCTAGAACCAAGAAGACCAAATCAACTTCAGTCGTAAGTCTTTCACGAGGGGACGAGTGTGGTGAGAGCTGGCTGTTAGCCAAAATTGGTAGACAGTAATTTGCGTTAATGTTTATGTCCCAAATATTCGTCGTGAGAAAAATGAGAACACAAAGGCTTTGCGTAGGCGGATACACTTAACATATATAGATGATCTGACATTCAAGAAACAGCAGCCACAAAGAGGTGCAAGGTTTAATTTCTGTGAGAAACAACCAATCAGAAGACTTCGGTGTTTTTCTGCTAACAATAATCTATAATAATGTACATGAAAATCTATAAATACGTGTTGATTTCCTTAATAAACGATCTGTCGCCTGACTCTTGCCTTACACAATGACTACAAAAGAACTGAAAGTGACAATAATAATAATAACACAGGCGATGACAACAAAACTAACAAAAACAACCACAGAACTTACAACACTTCCACGATATAATGTCAAGTGAATTAACACACGTGAAACAAAACTAGCTGATAATGGATTCACTGATTGATTTGAGCTAAAAAACTGGATGAGTTTATCTAAACGTGGACGACGGATTCGTGATGTTGTAGCCGCGATATCCATCGTCTTCGTTGTCGATGGTGGTGGTGACGTCTTCATCTCACCATTATTGAATACAGTCGATGAGGATAAAATATCCGTTGATGAATTCAATGTATTTACATGATGATCTAAGGTATTATTGATTGATTTATCTTCCATATTATTTACAATGGTATTAGCAGTTGACGAAGAATAAGAAGACGAGGAATTATTTAAACTAGATTCATCAATAATAGACATTGAAGTGGACAAATTATTGACCTCATTATTACTACTATTATTAGTAGTATCATTATAATTATTATTATCCGTTGGAGTTAAATTACATAATTCCATCGCTGAATTATTTACACTGTCATCATCATGATTACTAATCACTGACATATTAGTAGCACTTTTATCACTTTCATGAAACACCACTGACGATGATGGTGATGGCGAAGATGAAGATATGCCAGTCGACTCCATAATATTATTCCCGGTGTCATCTCCATCAGTATTATTATTATGATTTAAATGATGATGATGGTGATCATGATAAAATGAATTCTCCACTGGTTTATCGATTATTGATTGTGATTCAATAATTCCATCTAATATTTCATCAATATCATTGGTTAAAATTTCACACGCTAAACTAGGATACCTAGGATATTGAAAAGAGGAGAGAAGAAAGAAAGAAGGAAAGAATATATGCGCGTGAAATGAGAAGTATTCGCAACAACAACAACAACAAACACACACAGATACAGACAGAAGTGTATTCATTCAGTCCCGACCGATAGCTGCTAACCTTGACGTGGTGATCACCGGGATTGCACATCGTGATGACCCAACAAGGTACAGCTATTGGCTAGAACCAATATTCCTGCAGGTCCTACCATACCACGAAGGTTGTTAGGATAGCGATTAGACTAAAAGCAATTATCGGAATTGTGTAAGAATCTTTATTACACTATACTGGGGGCCTGAGGGCGCAGTCGTACTGCTGACCAGCATACCAGCCAGCCAGCTATGCTGTCTCTCCATTCTGCTGCAGAGAGGCGGGGTTAGAAAAGGTCGACCCCAACAATTGTACATCCCGACTTACCCCACCTACCTACAATGGTGATCCGTAACCGGCGGTAAGTTTACTTATACGGAACCAAACCAAGAAACTAGTTCACACAGGCCGTGTGTGTAACCGACCTGGCTCAAGCAGTTGTCCCCTGGGCTCGGCGGTCACGCAACACTAACCCTCTCTCTCTCTCTTTGTTTCAGGTACCCGAAGAATCAATCAACTTCCACGGTGTGTGGACATCCGCCCACATACTTCCAAAAGCACACGAAGCCTTACTGAGCATCATTCTCATTCAGTTACTCATGCATCAGTTAGAGAACCATAGAAAGTCAGAGGGTACACACTGGGTTGTCTCAAAAAGAAGATCTGGTACAGCTGAGGATGGGGTAGACTTCAGTCTATCTCGCTTGAAATACTCTCTTTATATGGCTACACGTTTACCGTCTCAGGCAAGCGAAGTCCAATATTTACTACCTACACGTGACGAGGGTGTTCCACTCATAAAGTGAGAGGCTAAATGGGAACATCTAATGCTTACAAACGGAGGGGCTGATGGATATTCTAGTTTACTTAAGGGAGCTGGGAAACCCTGATTCCAAACCTATGGTATATACATCGGATCCAGAATTCGAAGGAGGATCAAATGGTGTATGAACCGCTGTTTTAGTTACCAGCAGAACGTAGCTCCTGATGCTACTCTGTTGCACACACACAAACCCCACCTTGTAGATCAGACTTCAAATCAAAAGCTTGCCAGGGGATAACCCCGTAAGACAACCACATGCTTTATTGATCGAGGCATCCGGGCAACATCTCAGTCATCGCATGCAGACACACTATGGTATCTGTGTTGTGGGGTTCATAATTTATCAATTTTGAGTCCTAATAAAATTTAACAAAAATAATAAAAAGCTGGACGGCTAGTTCGTCTTGGTTTAGTGGACTTGAGCAGGATACACCTACGGCATGACCCCCCCCCCGCCACTGTCATCGATTCATAACTTGTCCACACACCCTCAGTGAGCACAGCTCACTACAAATTTCAGGTGATTTCCTGTATAGAGCCAGTCACAAGTGACCCATAATAGGTTAGATTATCAAGTATTGATTGATTTTCAGGGATTTAACTGACTTCAAGTTAGATCACTGACTTGCCAGGCATACATCGGGGGGGGGGTCGAACCCAGGACCTTCAGGTTTTAAGGCGTACTAGTCGACTATACACAGCCACAAGGATGGAATCCAATGACCTATGAACTCTAACTTCTGTCAATTCGAGATTGATGTTAGCTGTAACGAACTTGTATGAGTTCACTCTACATAGTATATTTTGAGTTAACCGTTTTATTAGGCATAATTTATTGATTTAAGGTTAGTGCTAAGAGTTTTAATTCCCAAAAACTAATTATTAAAAACAAATCACTGTTATACAAATACTCCGTTCCACAAGTAAACCTATTAGAAATCCCCATAACTATTTTCAGAAAGTTTTGAGTGACGATACTTAAATTCTTCAAGTGAATATGTAACCATTATTATTATTATTATTATAAAAGGAGTTCATAACTAAAGGAGATGCATTTCGTCCTATTTTCGGACTCATCATCCGGATCTACTTGCATTCACTAATGAAATGAGTGATGGTATTCCCACATAACTGGTTTAGAGAACTTTGTGTTGCTGTCTGTCTGGATTCAACATAGAACTTGGCACCCAAGTGCACCAGTTCCAGTTGCCACGTTCCAAATAGCACACAGAGGTAGACAAGAAGATGAGTGGAGAGAATCAATAGAGTTTGACAAGTATGAGAGTGAAACAGAATGGGTAATGGTAGAAAGGAATATGAAAGATTACACAGACTGAATACATCTGCGCCATTGACAACGATTTTGAGCCATGTCACCTATTGTCTCCAGCCATTGATTCCTAGAGTCCCGAGGACCCCAACCCGGGAGTCTGCATCTCCCTACCTGACCGACTCAGTTTAACTGTCAAGGATTTCATGGATTGATGAGGCCATGTTTTTGTTTGGCCACCACTGGCTCTTTTCCAACCTGAACCTATGTCAGCTAGCAATGCTGAGTGACACAACATAAGTAGTTCAAAGTCAGAGGTGAAAAAAAGTCTGAAGTGAGTTGTTTTTTCCAAAAGAAATCCTATCGACATGGTATATTGGGTGGTTGCCAGGCAAAATCGTAAACATAGTCATCATTGACTTATGTGACGACCTTGCAAATCATAACAAGGTTTATAAGCCATCTATCTACACAACTCTTTTGTCTAAGTTAGAAGATCATACAATTAAGTGTGCCTCACTCAACAATCATTCGTAGGATAATAAGATATTTTTTTCCTTCACGTTCCCCAGTGGAACACACAGGGGGCTTCAAGCTAGTGGATTGAAGTTTCTGTAGCATTGGTGATAATTTGTACAGGATGGGGTTGTTAACCGCCTCATGTCTAGCCAACCTTGTCTATTTACCAGCAGTATTTCTGGTTTAGCGAGGTAAAGGAGTGCGTCTGTGGCCGGGGATCGAACCCCGGCCCATGTGAATGGTCGGCGAGCGTCCTAACCGCTGTGCCACCAACGCACCAACTATGCAGTAAATGCTTGAAAATAAGGTCTAGTTACTAGATAAGCAAGCACAACACATACACACAGACACACACACACACACGCGAAAACAGATAAGGAGGAAAAAGCTAAGTGAAATGAAAACTAACGATCAAGCACAAAAACTTACCTATACAAATTATGATCAAACACATTAGACACTGGTGTATGACTAACCAGATCTAATAGATAATCCAAATTATCTGGTCGTGACAAACTAAAATTTTAAAAAAAAAAATTATTACAACTTCAATGTGGAAATCACTTACAAATCAATTAGACGTTGATCTTTTTCACGACATTTCTGTAACAAATCATCATCATCTAAAAGTTCTTTGATTGTAAGATCCTACAGAGAGAGAGAGAGAGGGAAAGAGGTATACGAATGAGACAACAATTCACAACTTACAGGTCCTGATAGTAGTTCATCTATACGCGAAAATCCCGCAAAAGCTTCCCAAAACATGGCTACAAAATTGGAAAAATCAAAATTAAGAAAAGTGATTATTATGTGAATATGATTTAAAATTTTTTATATAGAAATACATACATATATTGATTATCAATATTGTAAACAATCTTGCACAGATCAATAAACAATTCTTCATCAAAGTGCATCCGTTTATTTCACCAAGCTGTGAAGCATCATACAACAAACGGAAGCTTGTAATAAAAAGACATTTCAATACATAAACATACATGTATGAGGTCAATCTTTCTGAATTTCAGTTTTTGTAACCAGAGTTTATCATATCAGCTTACTACCTATTTATGCTTGAACTAAGGATATATGGTCTGAGGAGTCGTATGAAGATACGAATACATATATACCTGATCCTATGTCAGCTAACATTGCCCATTGTCGAGGAAGGCGATCGATGGCTAGGCAGGCATGCGTAACACATGTCCTAACCATCTCAGTTGATCACGCTTCACAGACTCGTCTATTGATTTCCCCTCTTTACCCAGCACTCGACGCTTAATCTCAATAATAAGGTGAGCAATATTGAGGTTCGGTATCCGTCCAGTGCTAGGTAGGAGGGGAAATCATTCGGCAACGCATGCCTGCCTAGCCATTGATCACCTTCCTCGACAATGAGCAATGTTAGCTGACATAAAATCAGGTAGGAAAAGAGCCAGTGGTGGTCAAAAGAAAACATGACTTCATCAGTCAGTGAAATCCACAACAGTTAGTTTAAGCCAGCCAATCACGTAGGAAGGTGTAGACTTCCTGCATGGGGTCCTCGGGACGGTAAAAACTAATGGTTGGAAACAATTGCTAACGTGGCTCAAAATCGTTTTCAATGGCTAACGCAGATGTATCGACTCCTTGTGACTTATGATTTTCAATGAAACTATATTGTTCTTCGATATTACTATTCTTTTCGCCTCATATCTCTGTTTAGTCTCTATTTCTCTTTTCTTCTTACTTTCTTCTCTTGCTTTATGTGCTACATGGAGTATGGTGACTCGAACTGCTGCACACCGGTGCAAAGTTCTAAGTTGAAACCAGACAGACAGTCCTACTGGAAAAAATCTCCAACCATAATACGAAGAGCTTTTGGATTTTTTACTGATCTCAACCAAGAAGTTAACTTCCTGTAAAAAAGGGTTGAAAACAATGGACAGAAATGTCGTTAACTAGTGTCTAGTCTTACTTCGGTCAATCTTAGGCCTCAATCTAACGTTACTTTAACTAGGATTATGCGTGTACGTTCTTTGAAAAGTCCCTTAAACTGGCAAAATAGAAATGTAATCATATGAATGTGACAAAGGGTATAATTAGATGAAGATTACTAGACATTTTTAGAAGCTATGAGGTAATAAGGACAAAGCCCAAACACTGAAAATGGGCCAAGTTACGCTTTAAGCACTAGTAAGTATCAGTGCAGTGCAACCTCACCAATTCCCTTGAAACGTTCCGTGAGCAAGTTAGTGGAACCTGGTAAATAATTTTGTATCACGAATAAATTATGCTGAATGAAGTGTTACGCTATTAAATGAGATATCTAGCAAGTTTTGGATTAGGTTTGGGAAAGATTAAGGTTTACGCTAAGGACAAGTTAAGCTTAGGTTAATCTAATGAGGATGAAATTAGGGTTGGTTCAAGTTAGATTGAGGTTACTTAAGGGACATTTTCACTTAGGTTAAGGGAAGATTAGGGTTACTGTTACGGTTAGAAGACTAGATAACTACATGCAAAGAATGTGGTTAAATTACTCTGCCGATACTGCGATCCAAAACTAACAGGTATTCTTTTCACACGTCTAAGAAAGATATCCTGTTTAAAAGTGTCATACTTTGTGATTCATTATTTTCGTGAATATATGTATTTTATACGCAGAAATCGCCCTTATCATTTGGTTAGTGCGTTCAAGGTTATTTGTCCGTTTGTACTTACTGCTACTTCAAGCCATCGCCTCCCTCGACGAGCAATGTTAGCGGATATAGGGTCAGGCTGGAAAAAAGCTAGCGGCGGTCAAACAAAAACTTGGCATCAGTCAATGAAATCCACAACAGTTGGTCTAAGCCACGTAGGACGGTGTAGACTTCCAGGCTGGGGTCCTCGGGACGGTAAAAATCTATGGTTGGAAACAATTGGTGACATGGCTCAAAACCGTTCTCAGTGGCGCAGATGCATCCACTCCCTGTGACTTATGATCTTCAATGAAACTGTTTTGTATTTCTTTATTACTCCTTTGTCTCACACCTCTCCTCACTGTTTCTATTATGCCTTTCTTGTACTTTCTTCTCTTGCTTCGCGTGCTACATGGAATGTGGCGACTTGAACTTCCGCACATTTGTGCAAAGTTCTATGTCGAAAACAGACAGACAGACAGACTGCTACTTCAAGTTTAACTTTGCCTATCAATAAATTTTGAACTACTTCACCATCTTTTACCTGCCATGAATTCATGAATTTGTGTTATTTTTTTTAGCGTATATGCTTCCAACTCTTTTACAACTTAATCTTATTTCTGTATACCTTGCTTATCAAGCAAAGCCATATTATGTATCCTGAACCGCCTCAGTCTATTAAGTTCCCTGCAGGGAACTAAAAGTAGGATAAATGAATATAAGAAAACACTTTGCTGATTTTCTGGTTATATTAGAAGTTGATGTGAACAGGTAACATCTTAAAATTACCAGGAATCAAGCGCATGTCAAACAATCAGAAGTTTGATCAGTGTATTTCTTCAAAACATTCAAGTTTAATGTATATTTCATGAGTACTTTGGACAGAGAATACTTTTGTCTGACAGCAAGTCAATTACGGAGAAAAAACGCTAACAGATTCAGCAGTACAATTTTAAAAACTTAAATAAGGACAAAGACTGTGCATCTATGGAAGACACCAGGAATTACTAGACTAGACGACATATCTCATCCTTCGAAAACAGGTTTTCAAAGATCTCGCTTCTCACACAGATGGTAACACTACAGTTCTCGCCGAAGAAGTCAAGTATCACCACTAGAAGAGACCTCCGAACAAATCTCCTTCATAAATCACATTAAGGTGTCAAGCCTCGGGAAGGACTTCCGAAGACGATTTCGCAACATATGACGTTATAATTGTTTACTGATTACGCAAATACAGGTTATTCACAAACGGAAACAATTCATAGAATCACATATACGAGGATGTCAAAGTTCCAACGAAATTCAGAGTATACTAAATAATGTTCGAAGTCACGTCAGAAATCTGATTAACTTAATTAAATCATCAGTCTAACTGTAGATATGCCGCATGTGTGATTTTACCCGTAGATTTAATAACTATTTCCCCAAAAATTATACACCTTTTGCTGGCTCAATATGATGCTACGATTTCAGTCTGTGTATGTATGATAATGCTTCCAATGGAAAGATAAGCAGAAGGTGAGATCCAAAAGGTATGTTGAGATTCGCAGCAGAATGAAAAAGCACCAGTCAAAACAATAACAATCACTCACAGAAGAGAATTATAAGGACTACACAAGTGACCTTGAAGCAAAAAGTTTTACGAATTACCCTCAAAAAAAATAAAATAACTTACTAAGGATTGAAGTGACTAGAATGACTGCTGAAATAAACTGAGACTATATATAATTGGCGTAGACGCAGAATTAATTTCATTTCTTGACAAAAGTAGGAACATCAAGGTAGCATACTATAAAGTGACTCACTTTATCAAACTACTGTGGTTTCAGCTTTCGACCTAATTATCACCCATAGAAATTCCTTTAGTTGAAATTCAGATATTATAGCTTCATACAATATATAAAAACGTCATGATCACGGTCAATGTCATTCAAATCAAAAAGCACTACTTCTAAAGCAGCGACCTACATACATCCCCCCCCCCATCTAAAAGGATACGTTAGTGAACACTTCAACTAGTTAAGGTGATCTATTTGGAACTTCTGACATATATCACAGATTGCGAAATAGGGTGAAGAAGTAAATCTGAAATTTGCAGCGTTAAAGTATTATTGTTTTGCAGGACTAAAACTAGCAGTGGTATACCATCCCCCATAAGCAACACTGGATAGAGGCTGCCAAGCCAGAACAAACAAAAGCTGAGAAGCTCTCCGAATACTTCTGTGATATTTTCTCGCTTAATCGTGCCACTCAGGGGTGTAGCGAGGTAACTGATGTAGCCCCTAAAATGTCCCCAATTGTGGTAGATGATGCAGTTGTTCTGAACTACTGTCTAAGTTGAAGCCAGGTAAATCACCTAGACCAGAGGGACTTCACCCTGGATTGCTAATCTCAATGGCGGATATCATATACATTCCATTTACGGAGATTTTTCGGATGTCTCTGACCCAGGCTAGGCTACCCAGGGACTGGAAAGTTCAAAGATGGGAACAGGCAGTCAGTATCTGACTACCGGCAAGTAAGTCTGACATGCATTATAGCAAAAGTGTTAGAAAAACTCATAAGGGATCAGCTCTTAGCCCATACGGAAAAACATGCCTTACTGGCTGTAGAACAGCGTGGATTCCGAACAGGACGATTCTGCTTGACAAACTTACGGTTAGCTAGAGAAGATTGGGTCGAGGCCAGGGATAAAAACCATTTACTGGACGTTGTATTTATCGATCTTAGTAAAGCATTCGATAAGGTATCCCATTTAGGTCTTCTTAGTAAACTTAAACATTTTGGATTAGGCCAACGCTAATGTGAGTGGTTTAGTGACCACCTGATGGATACGAGGCAGAAGGTAAGGGTTACTGGTGTACTGTCAGGGTGGAAAGCAGTACTCAGTGCAGTACCTCAGAGAACTGTACTTGGCCCCCTTCTATTCCTATTATACGTAAATGAAGTGCCAGAAATTCTTACCCCATCTTTCTTACTACTTTCGGACGATATTAAGATATGGAAAACCGTAAATAGTAGCGATGATAGGTTGGTACTACAAAACGATCTAGACAAATTAGCCGAATGGGCTAACTTTTGGAATCTGGAAATTAATTCCAAGAAAAGCGCGGTAATGCACCCAGGTCAGAAGTCTTATACGTCGTACTTCATGAGTGACACAGAACCGCCAGATGTTAGGGAACAAAAGGACTTAGGAATTATTGTTAGCCATGACTTAAAAACAACGCAAACTGTAATCGAGCCGCAGCTAAGGCTTCTCAAATGTTATGGGCACTTCGAAGGGCTTTCAAACGATTAGACGAGGGTATGTCCCAAGTACTCTATGCAACATATGTCAGGCCTCATCTAGAGTACTGCATACAAGTGGCAAGTCCATGTTTCGAAGAGGAGGCACATACCCTGGAAATAGTACAGAGGGTAGGAACGAAATTAGTTAGTGGTACCTCACACCTTCCTTATGACATGAGGATGGAGCGTTTAAATCTCTTCCTATTATCATGCCGAAGGAGGAGCGGTGACTTAATTTTGGCTTACCGTACATTCAAAGGTGATTTATGGATTCACCCTTCATACCATTTCTCTCCCTCTAGGATACATCTGCAGGGTCACCAGAAGAAGGTGCTCTAACCGAGCTCGAATAAAATACGGTTGGAGTTTAGATTCTCTCACAGAGTGGTCAACGACAGGAACTCTCTACGAGATTCAGTAGTAACAGCCTCATCTGTGAACGCCTTCAAAGAGAAACTAGATCTCTGGAGATATATATATCGCAAGGATTAACATAGGCAACAAGAGCCTTCTATCCTTATAGTCTGAATCTGTTGGCAAAGAGATAGCTTAGAGGCTGGACCATATCCTTTGAACCTGAGGAATCGGAAACCTGGACAAAAATGACTGCAAGAATATCCAGGTGGGGTTGGAGAGTCTATTAGGCTGATCCCCGGTCGGGTTATTGACGCTTCCTGCTATACAGTCCTTAAATAGTCCGGAACAACTTGTGTAGTAGCCAGATTCCTCGTAACCTAAGGACGTTTTCCGGACTACAACCTGTGTAAGCGAAGTGAGAGAACAGGTTGTCGACACAACTTGCTGCACTAAATTTAATAACCGTTGTGGTTATGGTCTGTTAAACATTGCAGAGGAACTCATCTACTTGCATGATGAAAATGATATTAACAGAAAGATTTCAGAATGAAGTTTCAGACAAATATCGGAAAGTGGATGGTCGTTTCTGGTGGAAACGGTAGATGAGGTGATACGGCGACCATATTTTCAGCAAAGGGACTCGATGGCTCAATGGTAGGCCAGTCACGAAAACTGGCATCCAATCCATGTTACACCACGCAGCCCATATTCCAGGATTTATCTATCCAGGATTATTATCCAGGATTTATTTATCCCGCCCAAGTATACACTAGACAGCCTTTTCTTCACTACCCTGTCAGAAGTTGGCATATTTTAGGAGGGCTGAAGAGGTGAAATTAATTTCCCTGTCAAGACTCCATCTGAGCCCACTGAGCTTTCCACGAGATCTGATTTCAAGAAACCAGGTGACTACAAATAATACAATATTTAATAGTGAAAATGTTAGTTCAAATGATTTGTTTGTGGTTTGCGGTCCTAAGAATTTGATCATAGTCGTGTAAATGATGCGGCTTAATTTTGGCTCGCGTTAAAGACAAGTCGTTTTATATGTTTACTGGTGTTGTGGCAACGAAAAAACAATTTGCACTTCACACCAAATAACCATAACGGATTCGATTTCAGCAGAATATATTTCTCAAAATACTCTGTTGTCCGGTCAAACCCAGTTACGCCTTTCGCAATGTTTTAGATTCTTTCGACCTTTCCGGCCGATTAACCTTACATTACTGAACAGAGGATCACTCAATGCACGCCTGGGGGAAAAATACATGCCCTGTACATAGCCAATCTTGCTTCTGAAGTATGGGAGTCGAGCTGAATAAAGCGAACAGGTCATCAGCTGTCTGGTAATATCACTGTTGTATGGCTGATTTGGGTTGCATCTGAATATCCTATCACGAAATCTGTGACTGTTTTCAATTTTCAGGGGAGGTTGCCATGGGCGTTTAGACATATACCAGGCCTTCAATGCCCAAAGCTGACTGCACCTCAAATATTTGAGATGGCAGTAAGTTACCGCTTTTCTCTGCAACCACCGTGGGACTTTCATGTTGTGCTGGGATTTATCTTTAACTCTCATACCATTATGGGGAGGTCATCCACGGAGAGGTATAACAAGCGATAAGTGAAAACGAAAACCACTTATTTTGTGAGTAACCGAAACAGGATAATGAGAAGAATGCTACTCTGCATTAGGCCGCCACTTGCAGCAAAAAGCCGCAAATAACTTGTTAGTAATCTTTGCCAACCGTTCTGCTTCTGCGGGAAAAAACTTTTCCATAGGACTGGAGTTTTGTTTAGAGTCTTATATGCAGAAATTTGTAAAAACGTTCCTAATATTAGGGTGAGGTGTCGCCTCCGAGTGCCCTTTATCTGTGCATCCAGTAACGTTGTCAAAGTATGTATTGCGTAAACTTCTGTACGGCGAATCAGGACAAAATGGAGACAGTCGGTCACTGGGAAGTAAATACTAGATGACATGACGCTTTATGATTCTTTCAGTGAGACCACAGGAGGCGCGATGGTGGATATTATAAGCTGTGGTCATGTTTAGGACTTTACTAAGCAAATATGGTGTATTTCACTGTGTAATGAAGTTTAGTGTAGCTTCTTCAGAAGTAAATTCAGGTCGTTGTAGCCGTTCTTGAGGAAGTCAGAAGGTACACCATCTGCGACAGACAAGTAGAAAATCCTGATAATTAAGGTAAGATAAGATAAGATAAGCTTTGTTCCAAATCAGTACTTGTGATACAGAATGGAATTCTCAGCATTTTACTACAATATTGCATCCAGTTGGTACATTAACAATAAATATAGTTCTACATAGATTAAAGTTATCTCGTTCAGTTTTGACAACAACATATTAGCATGTCGGTAGCAAAGCCAAAATTAAAGTGTTTGAAGGTGTTAGAAAAGTAGATACTACTAGCATATTTACTGGCGTAAGCGATAGCAAAATGGTCGAGATGTACAGAGTGTGAAAGAACGAACAAGAATGTTTTAAGTAGAGTTTGTAAGGAAGAGAGAAACAAAACAGCACATAACAAAAATAAATACAGAATGAAAAAAATGGTAGAGAGAAAACGTTGTACCTGTAAATGATGTGAGTTGGAAATACGGGATCCAATTGTTCTACTGACTATTTAATAAGTTAAAGGTTTCATGCTTAATGCTTTCTTTATCGCACAGAACACGATCTAGGTAGGGTATGGATGAGATTTTGTACTTACTAGTGCGAGCATACAGTTTCCTATATAGGCTTCTGGTTTTCCCTGAAGAGATACATGGGGAGAGTTGTGAATGTAGAGGGTGTTGTGAGTCAGATAAGACGGATTTTGCCCATTTTTCACATGAGTCCATGTGCCTGTCCACCAGAATATTAACAAGCTGGCTAAGTGGCAAACTGCTTACCCTGCTGACAACCTTTAACATCCTACGTAATAAGGTATAGTCTTTCTTCAATAGCCAACCCAGGGGGTCACTAAGGTGAATCGCCCCATTCTGCAGGAACAGCAATATACAAATTAAGGGCTCGAGATATTTCTGATTTTTATGAGGGCTTAGATCTTTATCTTGAAAAAGATAATAATGAACGCCTTGACAGATCATGCTTCTACCTCTAAATATATACTATTCGCCCAGCCTATTGTTGAGATGCGACCATGTGGGATGTGCACAGATTTATGGGGCATCTTATAAACTAACTTGCTGTCCATTGACTGATCTTTAAATACCACTTCACAATGTCTTATCTCATTCATTTTCCAATAACGTCTTTACTTGATCCTCATTATATTCCATTAAACCTAACATTTTACAGCTCTTTATGACTTATTATATTCCTACTCTCTGAAGGGTACGGTTGTACATTAAATGCACAAAAAGGTATAAAACAAAAACAACTGGCAAAACTGAGGATAAATGTATTAAAACCAAAAGTGGACATCATGATAGTACGAGATATACGTGTAGCATTATACATTGCAAATGAACGTTGTCAGCCTAGGGAGTTTTCTTTGTTTTAATGCATCTATTAATGATACTTGCACTTACCTATTTCATTACAATTTAATGATTCACCTCAGCACTTTTACTTTTCTAAAACAGCTTTCAATCCCTTGTAAACGTTGTACTTACCTCAATTTTGGTTGGTTATCGTATGCCGACAACCACGGGATGAAAACGAAACGAAGTCGATTTTCCCGCTCAACATGGAGGACAATTGTACAATTCAATAACTATACAGCCTAGTTCAGACAATGTGTATTTATGTATATATCAAATATTTAACTGTTGAAACATTATTAACTTGTAGACAATCTACGATTTGATATTATATCATACGTGATCGTGCCTGTAAAAATGGCATGCATTTTCATGTGAATTTATATGTTTATATGAGAATATACATTATTATTAAAGACTAAGGGGAACAATAGAGAATAATAGACAGAATGCGAGAGTTAACGAATTCTAGGAGTAGTAGTTCGATTATTCGAGAATGTCTTAAATTCTTCATGTAGAAGGTAAGACGGAATATTTTCTTAAAAATAGTCAAGATATGAGACGACCAGGAAAGATCAGAAGATAGAGTGACGCCTAGGTATTTAATTTCCGACTTGGTTTCAATTTCAGTGCCATCGGTGTTGCACATCTAGTGAGTGCTAACCAGTTTGTTTAGGTCAGATTTATGCCTAAAGGCGAAATGAACTGTTTGGCATTTGGAGGGGTTTAAGGTGAGACCGTTTTCCTTGGACCATTGGCTGATTTCTGATAAGAAGCCATTTAGATTAGAGCAGTCACTTTGACATTTGACAGGTAAAGATACAGTTAGGTCATCGGCATATTTGACAAAGTTAATGTCATTTGAAGATGGTAGGTCATGTAAGAAGAATGAAAAGAGAAGTGGGGAGAGTACAGCACCTTGGGAGACACCAGCTTCAGTGAGCACAGCAGAGGAGGATTCACCTTTGTATACGGTATACTGCATTCTGTTTGAAAAGCAGGAATGCAACCAGTTAGTGAACCAAGACCCAGTTTGTGTAACAGAGAGCTTCTTTAGCAACAGACTTTTAGGTACAGAGTCCGAAGCAGAAGTGAAGTCAAGAAACGTGCAGCGGACATATTTCGCAAATTTGTCTAATGATGAAACAATACTGTTGTGAAAGAAGGCTACATAATGTAGAAGAAGATTGAACGATCAATTCATGGTTGTTTGCTCAAAATCAACTTCCCCAATTTTCGCGGAGGCATCAATACGACAGTCATCGTCTCATCGGTCGCTGTTCAGAAAGAAGTCAGTAGACAACCATCAGAAGTAATATTGTGATTTATTATTGTAATATTTGTTCACAGACCTTAGTAGAAATATATTTTATATGTTGGTGTTACAATAAAGAATTCTCGAGTGGCCAATCGGTGTTTTGGTTTTTACGTCCGTTATTACCAAGCGTTTCTGAAAACTTCAAGGAACAGCGTGAGTCCCAGCGTAGCAAGAGCTGGGCATTAACGGTTAACGAGACGTGATTGACAGTTTCTGATGGTAGAAACAGATGCGGCGGATTCAGACAGTTGGTGAAAGTTTGGATGGTCACCGTTCATCTTTCCTGGTGCCAGTCAAGTCTTTTTTGAGCAAGCAATATCTGGAACTTTTTGGAATTGGGTCAAGTGCAACAGTGCTCGAGTCAAAAAAGGGACAGAGCGTCTTGGATGCGAACAGGAAAGTAAGTCATGGTGACTTGTCTGTTAATTGTAACGATGTGTCTGATGTTGAACATGACATGGTTGATATTACTGTTTTGCCGTCTAGGGATAATAGGAATATCAAACTCCCTAAATTTGAACCACAGTGTTTAGACGGAAACCCAGCTGATTATTTACAGTTTGTAAAGGAGTTTGAGATCACGCTGAGTGGTTTTTTATTAAATGATGAATTGAAGTTAATATATTTGATGAGATATTGCACTGGAGATGCTTCAAGAGCTATAAAATGTTGTAAGCTCATGCCCCCTAATGAGGGATACGCTAAGGCTATGAGCATATTAGTTCAAAGGCTTCGAAGATCTTCAATGATTGTAAGAAATGTATTCGGGGCTGTTAAAGGTAACGCCAGTCAACTACAAGATGACTCCAAGGCACTCACTGAGTTTTTGGATAATTTGCTAATTTACAAGAATGCAATGATTTCGATGAATCGCATGAGTGACCTCAACTAGATTTTTATACTAGAAGTAATAGCAAGACGCCTACCTACTCGACTGCAACGGAAGTGGGTGAAGATAAGCTCCCGTATGGAGGATGGGGGTATCGAGCCAAAGTTTGATGATATTCTGAAACTGCTAAATACTAGTGTCGAAAAATCTATGAGAAAGTTCGCCAGTCTATTACATCTCACCCCTAGAATAGAGCAGTCTGAGAGCAAAATGCAATCATTGATGACGAGTAGGCCTCAGAGAGGTGGATATCGAGAAGGCTCGATGATGTCTAGTAATGCATATAGACCTAATGAGTGTAACAGGTTTCGTAGTACATCCTCAACAGATAAGTTACAAGATGCAAGACAAGCACGGTTGTGTTTTACACGTTTGCAAGAGGTGCATACAAAGGTGAACTGTGAACCAGTGAGCAAGTTCAGTGATAAGCTAAATGTAAACTCCAGGCCTGACTCCGAATTGTGTGACGATAACGGTGCTGTGAAGAAGTCTGTAGTTACAACTGGTAAGCCATTGTTGAATAGAGTGTCACAGAATAGAGTTACTGCTTCAGAGTCCAGTTCTGTCCCAACAAGTTTACAAGGTATTACTGGTCAGAGTGAAGTTATAAAACGTTTGAGGATTTGCGAGGAGGAACCAAAATTGTCTACTTCTGCTATTAAAGAGTTTGAAAATGATGAAGTTGACGGTAAAGTGAATATTTGTGATAATGATCATGATACTTCACAGTTGTCTTTGGTTGATCATGATGAAATGAGGGAAATGCCTACCACCGCTAAGTTAAATAAAGGTTCTGTACAACTTGAACGTGAAGTAGAAATAAATGCAGATGCAGTTGCAGAAGGCATGCATACTTGTGAGACCGTCAGTGTG